CTTATAAATGGGAAACTGATACTTGGTCAACATCTTCTTTCTGTACTAGTAACTGGATGACTCTTCCTGTCTTTCATTTGTATTTTGAGCTCTTTAGTTTTGTACTATAATGTATTTTCATATGCAAGTTTGGTTTGAGTATCTTATGCAACAGAAATGGTTATTCTTGAGCTAATCTCAAATCTTAACTCTTCCAAACAATGTCAATTGTTTGTCTAGACCTGCCTAACTAACTCCTTTTGAACTTGAAAAGCCAATCAGGAACTTGAGAGGTAGGGAATGACACATCTTCTAACCACCCACTATCCATAATATTTGTAAAGGGCTATCTTAGTTACTATGAATAACTTCATGGTCAGAGAATTAATTGAATCCAGATTGCCCCTTGTCTAATAGAATTGCAATTATTTGTTTTAATTTTAGTGGAACTAATTGATTTTAAAAAACATTCTCATTCAATAGCTGCAGGTCTTTCTGTCTTGGTCCTTTTTTATCTTATTCATTTCACCTTGCCGCTTTTTCTGAGCCAGTGACACCAGCCTCACCCCTTCCTTTCATTCATATTCCCCTCTGTCTTTGTGCCTTATTTTCTTCCACACACTTAGTTGTATTTGCCTCCTTGTCTCATTGAACCAGACTGCCATTCTCTCAGCTTTTGCTCTCTTGTTCCAAAAGGCCTATGAATAATAATAATTCATAGTGGAAAATATGTAACTGATTTAAGGTTTTGGTTTTGGTTCAGATTAAACTCGAAACACTTAGAGTATTCACTTAGGATATATTCCTTCCTCTGCATACAGGGGAGTGCCCTAACCACTGGGCTACATAAGGCATAAAGGGCTGCATGTGTCTATCTTTCCTACTGACAAGAGTTTCACATTAAATAGGCTACTTATTCTTTGAAACAGACACCAAGATTAAAAGGATGATTCTGTAGCTGGTTCCTTAGGGCACCTGGGAAACGGGATTCCTGGATTTCAGTCCTTGCTCTGGTTAAAATTTGATTAGGTACACAAAGCATAGCATTCCAACAGGAAGGACTTGAGAGTTTTCCACCCAAGAATACCCCATAGTTTAATGTGTAGCTCTACTCTTTTGTCCCCTTAGGCATAGGAGAGAATTGAACATAATCTCTTGCTTCCTGTTAAGTGTCGTAACATTTGGCTGTTGGATGAAAGGGGGGCAGTAGGTTGTTCTGGCAATATAGCCCTGAATCCTTCCTGTCCTGTGTCCAAGGAAAAGCACTTAGTATATTTGACCTGAATTTGCAAATAACTTTGGAGTGAATGGAGTGACTTTAATATTTGTAATATGTCCTGAACATTTTTTCTTACCTTCTCCCAGAAAGATACTGCTTGTACTAGCTGGGGGGAACATCTAGACATCCGACCATATTGGCCTTCATCCTGCAAAGAATTAAGTCTTAAGAATATGCACAAATGTGTATTTGGAGTAGTCATGTTACCTTCAGTAGTATTTGCAGGATCAGGGTTTTTCACTGTGAATTCCTCAGGTCCAAGCTATTGATCTAGATCTCCTTTCTTCCTCATCTCAGAGAATCCTGTCGAGATGACCAGAGTTACTCTGTGGGTGCGAACAGAAATGACATTTGTTGTGTGACTGGCCTCTTGATATTGCTCTAAAGCCATGCCCAAACAGAAGAGCATGGCTGCAGAGCTGTCCGATAATTAAACAAATTAACGCTCATTATATGAGGATTTAAATGAAGCAGCTTAATGAAGTTTTGTTTATTCTGGCTGTAGGACAGTGACCTGCAGCTTCTGTCTCTGGATGGGAGGGGGAGGAGGCTGGGGAGGAAGATAATTCTGAGCATGAGCAACTGGTGCCTCCTGAATCTGGGGGGGGCACCTGCAGAAGCCGCCGATGGTGGTGGCCCTGTTTGGGGGCACCAGCCCTGCAGACAACATCAGTGTTGGCTGTTGGGGGGATATTGGCCCTGTCAGGTGGGGTACGTGCACCCCCTACCTGTCACCTATGGTTCTAAGGTTTTCTCAGTCCTGCTGGAGTAGGGGGGTGGGTAGATTAGAAACCCCCACCACAAGATGAGGGGCTCCAGTCCAACCCCTCACTCCAGCAGGGCTAAGAAAGCCTCAGAAAGGTCCTCCCTCCCCTGCCTTCTCCTCCCTTCCATCCAGAAATAGCAGTGGACCTGGAAGTAGGGGGAGCCAGGGGAAGATGCAGCTTCTCTCCCTGGATCAGCTCCAAATTGGAACCAATCCTCCACCCTCCCAGTCCAACAGCTAACTTCTATGGGATTGGAAGAATTGGTTTTACTCCTGGTGATTTCTATGAATTGCCATGAGTTAGACCCAGCAGCTGCACTTCTGTCTGCACCCTATACTCACACTGGTATAACTGACGGGTTCAACCTACACCTGATTTATTCATCTTATACACAGCCAAGCACTTATTAGTTCTTAACAAATAAATAATTGTACTATTGAATTAAAAACTGCCTTTAAACAGATCGGTATGTTTTTGTTGCCCAAGATTACTTAACTGAAATATGTAAGAAACAAAAATGAAGGTTGAAAAAGAATCTTGAAGGTAAAAGATTTTATAACAGTTGCTAAACATGATAATTTATGAATATACATTTTGAAATTAATTTATAAGTCATAACAACAATAAAGACACTATACCGAATGCCTAGGACTGATTAAACTTACAGTGACAATCGCAACTACCCAGCAGCATTAGTATACCAAGAAAAATTAAGTCCTCAGAAAATCATCATTACACAGTCAAGTAGAGATAATGATCTACCACAGCCACTCAATTAAAAATAAAAGTTTGGATAAGCTTCAGAAAAGTCCTCACACTTAGAAACATGCCTGCATCCTTTCCGAGAAGCCCTATCAAATAAATAGCATTTTCAGCATACTTAGAGCACCATGAAATATAAATAATTTTGAAACAATTTGTGTTTTTAAACTTAATAGTATCCTTTTAATAGCAGTGATATTAAGAGTCAATCCACTGAATTTTATATTCTGGAATTTCTCCTGGATTTGCAGCATAGCATGAATATAATAAATTAATTTAAGATTCTTTATATATGGGAAAGAGGCATAGAGCTATCAGAATTTCCAATGATCTAAATTTCAATTAAAGCACTGAGTTCAACAATAACATAGTAATTACCCATTAGAACTAATTAAAATACTCATCACTACATGTGGATATTACCTTATGTAACAAATCTTCTCAACATCAATGTAGTCTAGAGCCACCTTCTCAAAACAGTTTAAAACAGGGCCTGTGCAGAAACTTAGCAGTTCTGAATTGATACACACTTGTATTGTAATTATAGTTTGTATATGGATTAGCCAAGTCTCTCTCTCTCTCTCTCTCTCCCTCCCCATCCCCCCCCACCGCCATCTTTCTCCATCTCTTTCTCTCTCTGTTTTTGTTGGCTTGTCATTCTAAGACCTTTTGATTGTTTCAGCGAAAAGGAATTTTGCACACACCCTGTTGAGAATGTGAGGAAACTCCTAACCAGCACGTTTGGTTTCTATTACCTACATGCAAATGGAAGATGCTATTATTGCCTCGAGGTTTAAGTTAGCAAGAAAATTTAAATGAATTAGTCACTATTACTTAATTTCTAAGAGCCAAATTCTGTCCTGTTGAAGGCAAAACACCCATTCATTGATTTAAATCACAGTGAATTTGGCTCCAAATCTTTACTCGTTTGGAATTATTTAAAGTGCCAAAAAGCTTTCACCTCTTCACAAATCTTTATGAACTTTCTGAAGCAAGATTAAAAGAAATAAAAAGCCAAACCACACCTAGTGATTAAGTTTATATTTGTAGGAAAATAGCAATTGGAAATACAACTCTCAGATTACTTCCATAGGTTGTTTTGTCCTTAGAACAGGTAATGGTGACTGTTATACTGCACCTAAAATAATACCACACTGTAACATTATGCTTTTCTATAAGGTATATATGTTTTTTGGTTAGATGCTTGATTTAAATAAAAAACAAACCTCCTTTTCCTTGACCCTCAGTTGTAGGCAGTTCTGCAGTTTCTGTGCTTTAAGTTCCTGTAGTTGGTTTGATGGTAGAGGAAATGTTGACTGAACTAAAAAAGTTCAGTTTTGTTTAGTTCTTGATTTAGTCTGCGCTGCTATTTGGAGGTAATTAATCAATAATGAAAGAAACTTAGCAAACCTATGCTTTAATTATAATTTCCTTGTACATTGTGAAGTAGAGCAAGGATGGTAATGACAATGAGGGTTTCATCTCACACACAGCAGATGCATAGAAGCACATTTGACAAGCACAAGGCAAACTGATGGTCTGTTAGCAAAAACACTGCAATGAAGTAGCCAGGTTTCTCTTTCTGACCAGCTGGAATAAGTCAAAGAAGAGAGGGCATTTGTATGCTGATTATCACACTTAAGTCCATAACTTTTAGGAAACTCCTATGTTCTATCCTAATCAGCTCCTTTTTTACCTTGAGCTCTTGTGAGTAAGGCAGCAGGCATGAATAAGTGTTTTAGGCTCTTTGTAGAGGCGTCTTCCTAGTACCTGCTCTCTGATATAGTCCTTGTTTACATGATACTAGCACTGTATCAGGGGTATACGTTGGAGCCGTGTTGGTCTAAGGACATAGGCAGACAAGGTTCTTTAGGTAAATCCAATATCTTTTATTAGACCAACTAGCACTTTATTGCATTTTCATTGCATCCTATTGTGAATAGTTTTAATATGCTCAAGACACACTAGTAAAATGTATTGTTCTTGATTTTTAAGTAACTAATGAAAACCATAGTGGTTATAAGGCAGAGCAAAGTACGCATTTTCCGTAAGCCATGTAAAGTTTTTTATTTATTATTTTATGTATGTTTTGTAATGCATTCCATGTTTATGTGTCTGACATAGCTAGTATTTGTTTGTTTGATTCTTTGTATTAATTTTTCTTTGCATTTTTTTCAAGCATGATTTCTCATCTTTTATTTTGTTTCTTTTAGGTTTTGTTTTGTTTCATAAGATCCCACTGGATGGGTAAATGAAATAAGGAAAAATGAGAGAGGGGCTGTTAAGCTTGTTTGTTGAAGCTCTTTGCTGCACTCTAGGGCATGGACGTTGTTCTTATCCTGTGAATTGCCACATCCCTTGGACCTCTCTTTTAGCCATTGGTTGTGTTTGGAGGACTCTAGAAGTACACACAGATCATTAGCTGGTTTGGAGCCATCAGGGCAAGGTCAGCCCTCAGGCAGCTATAGAACTCAAGAAAGCACAGAAATAACCTGTCATATTCTTTTTTATTATCTTGTTTTTACTGTGGCTTCAAAATGACATTTAAATGAAATTCAATTACATTGTTTCCTTTGTCAAAAAAACCTTTCTGTTTCAACTTAACTGGAAAGATGTTGGTTTTTATAGGTATCTAATAAAGGTGAACTGCAAACATTTTGTATTTAAGAAGTAATCAAATGTTTAAGACTCAGATTCTGAGAACACTTAGCGACTTTGAGTGTTAATTCAATAGAGCACTTGAACAGGTGTGTAAGGTTCCCTTTGTTTGCGTTGCTGCTAACTTTAAGCAAATGCTTAAGTCCTTTGGTGGGGATCCTTTGTTGATCCATAGCCAAAATCACATAAACAATCCCCACCTCCCAAATTAATAGTCTAGATTTCACAAACCAAACACATACATATGTACATAACTCTTACTGGTAGGAGCAATGAGACTTCTTGGGCGAGTTAAAGCTAAGTACATGGATAAGTATTTGTATTGGTCTACATTCAAAATGTAACACTTTTGAAAACCCTTTCCACGTTCATTGCTTGCCACATCCTGAGTTCAGCACTTAAACTTTTCTGTTTAGAAGGTGCCACCGGGATAAAAAAGAAGAAAAAAATGTCAAGGCAAGTATTTTTTTTAATTAAAAAATAAATAATTCAAGAGACTAGCAGACAAAGAAGCTGAAATGAACCTTTGTGAAAAGAAATATGTTTTCCTTGCCATACACTAACTCTGTGGGTTTTGAATGAATGAGTGGTCTGATTTCAGTTTCTCCTGGTCTATTAGGGACAGACATTACACATAAACGGGTTAAACTGATCAGGAATTGGTTTAAACCTGTAACAGAACAGACATCCAGTGCAAATAAACCAATTTGAAAATGGTTGAAACCAGTTTGAGATAAACCTGGTTGAATGTAGTATCAGACTTAACTGATATGGGTCTAACTGGTTTATGCAATGTCTGCCCCAGACCCCTTGCTGGTTTAAGATAAACCAGACTCCCCCAGCATCCTGGCATGCTCTCTGGGCTGGGCAGGGCTCTCTGCTCCACAACAGAGCTGGCCCCTCCCCTCTGCTCCCTGGCTGGAGCTCCAGCAGAGACTTGCAGGCACATCAGGGTCTGCTGGCTTCCCCCTGCCACTCGCTGCTTAAGCAGAGATCCCTTCCTCCTCTCTCCTACCACACAGACCTAGCCAGCATGTGATATGCTAGCTAATGCTACGTAAGGCAGAAAGGACAGTGTCCCTTTAGGGCTTTTTAGAGCTAATCAACAGCTCAGCTGGTAATGCCCCTGCACTCTTTCTTTTGGAAAAAGCTGCTTAAGAAGAGCTTGAACTAATGAATGAGGCTTTGTTTTCTGATGGAGTGCTAAATGCTGATAACAGAGCTGGTAAATGCTCTGTTATCAAGGAGCGGGGAGGACCCCTCCCTAATCACAGCCTTGTGCCTGGGCCTGGCCATGCCCCCTTCAACTCAGCCCTGGGCAAGAGATGGGAGGGCTGCTGGTATGTGCCAGCATTTTTTCAGTCCAGAGGGGCTGTCTATACGGTTATGAAGTGATTTAGCCTAGCCAGGTTAAACTAGCCTGCAAAGATTGAATCAATTCAGGCCAAAGCTTTTTGAATGTCTGTTCCTAACCTTAGTAGTTGAGGGTCTTGCTGTATAAGTATTAGTTTAATTGAGCATTGGATTTTTTTAACAAGTTGAAACTTAATAAAAAATAAGAAAGAGTTTACTCTGTCACCTTTGCATTTGCTTTTCCTCCTCTTTTTATTTTCATTCATCTTTTTTTCCTTCTTCTATATTGGTTTGCCTTTCTTTGTTGTAGTCTTTCCCAGATTGTAGCATCCTTCTTTTTTGATAAATTCTGTATTGCATCATTTGTTTCCTTTTCTTTTGTTTCCTTTCTCTTCTTCCCTCCTGTGGCTTTTCTCCTTTCTTTGTTTACCATGTGTGCTCCATTTTTACCACTAACTCTCTTTCCCAGGATCTTTCTCATATCCCTGTCCTTTGACTCTCTTCTCACTTTCCTTCCTTCCTTCCTTTCCCAGTCATTATTCACTGTTCCATCTTGGAGGACTCTCAGTGAGTCAGTAAACATGGTTCTAGTTTCACTCATCTGGTCCCAAGCTTGGAGTTAGGTTTTATTTCCTTCACTGAGGGGGAAGAGCTGGGGTTGCTGGATTGTTTATTTCCCTTCCCAAAAGGGCTCCTTGTAACGTATTCTGTCCTACATCATGGAATCCTGTGGGATAGTGTAAAGACCACTCCGGTCTTAGGTCACTCAACAAGCAGTTTTTGATAGACAACAGGAATTATGGATGTTCTTCGCAGTTCATTGGCTTAAGTGTATATTGACTATGCCTTTCCATTGTTCCTTGAAATTAAATTGGAGAACATCTCTCTTCTGGGGATACTCATCTCCTCATCTACTTTACTGATCCTTTAAACTTATAATGTTTAAATAGACTTTTGAATAGACTGCTTGTTTGCCCAAACATCTCCAGCCCTATTTAGAATTGTTTCTAATGTCACTGGACTTAATTCTCATTTCTGATATCGCCACATGAATTGGAAATGGCTGAACTAATGACGGTGGCCCACTTGGTTGTATTCCCATCCCAGTTGCACGATCCAAATTCACTGAATTTCAGAGAAGTTACCCCATGTTTGCTCCAGTGGAAAATAAGAGCAAGGACCTGATTCTTCATTCCTTGGCAGGGGAATCCTGAACTCAGAATTTGGCAGCTGATTTTGACAAGCTTTGCCTTTAGAATTAAAAAGAAGTTAATTTTAAGTCTTACACAGCCCCCTATCCTCCAACACACACAGTTGCCAATTTACAATTTTACACATTTTGCAGCTTATTTTGTAGCACTTTGCAGTTCATCTTTAAGGTACAACAGCAGGTTTGAATTTCAAATAGTTCACCGTATACTGACACAATATTTTGGATTTTATGTAACCAAGGCATTAACTTTTAATAAACCAGAACTGATTTATGCACCATTGATATATAAACTATAGGATATCTTTCTCAAGTATTTTGTACTATGATATTTTTTACATTAGCCACTGAATGCACTATTACTTGATACAGATATTCACAGAGTCGTATGGATTACAGCAGGTGATTTGCTACTAGTTCTCTTTTAACCCATCTAATGGGAAAAAAATACATGTTGCTAAAATATTTTCTTTTCATGATATGAGCAGCCTGGCTTCTTAAAGCTAAGGAAGCTGAACTTTATACAGAGAGATTACTGTACACACTGGTTTCCATCTTTCAGCTCGATAGTAAATGGCGCTGCTTGTCAGTATAGAGATTCTAATCAGCCCAAATGGTGTTGGTTTACAAAGGGCTCAGCTAATTACAGAATTCCTGACCCTTTAAAATAAAGTTAGATTCAAACTAAGAATCATGCAGGAACCATTAACATGGTAAAAGTCACTGAATGTCCAGCATTTGATACTAAAAAGCTTTTATGCTCTTTCACTGAGCAATAAAAAGTCTATGAAACATTTAAAAGCAGAATTTTTAAAAGACCTGTAAAGAAACAAAAACATATTTATTTTATTACGCTAAAGGGGGTTTATTTATCCTATATTTAGCTATAAAACAAGGATTAGTTGATCTTGCTGTTAAGTGCATTAAGAATGACATTGTGGGGGAGTTAGTCATACATGTAGTCCAAGCAGTGTCAAGACGACTACTTCTCTAAGTCACTGCTCACCACTTTGAGTATGGATTACATAATCAGGTCCTTTTAATAAATAAATCAAGTCCTTCGTATTCCTGTGGAAGTTGGTGGGAATTTTGCCATTGAAGGGAACCTGTTGGGGCAGCAGATATCTAGAAAACTATGAACAACTAGCTAGAGGCAATTAAACTTCATATATGTTTTCTGAATGTATTGTCCCTCATTCTTTAATAAACTCTGGACCTCTCCCATCCCTTGATGCTCCCTAAGACCATTTTTTCAAGGATCATAAGACTGTATAGGCATTTGCAGCCTCCCTTTCTTCCTCACCCCAAGTCCTGATGTCACTGTCTTCAAAGTTCATTTTCGTCTGTTGAATATTTATCATTAAAAGTCATTACAATTTTCTCTCTCAGATGTAGTATTGCAGATTACTTCACAGAATGTAGATTCATACCAAAGTATACCCCAAAGCTTATCAGAAACTTGTACTATTATTTTGAAACTTTTTTCCTAATCATCCTCTCTGAAACACACTAACACTCCGTCTCATTTCTCCCCATCCTTTCAGACCTTGAGTGGCCCCCAAGCTTTTTCCCCTGTTGTAACCCTTCAGAAAGCTCAGCCTCCTTTACTGATGTCTGCTAGGTTCCCTTCACTGAGCTATATGTACGCCTGAGGGATCATAGGATCCAGAAGTTCTGGATGCCTTTTTCCAGAGCTTTGTCCATAGCTAATGATGGGGGTAGGTTCTTCAGAATGCGTTGGGGGCCCCAGGTTGAATAAGATTTAATAATGGCCAAGAGCCACCAGAAAGGGTTCCTTTAGTTGAGCTCATAATGAGAACATTGTTACTTTATACTTTTTTTTTACTCTCCTGCTTCCTCAAAAATGTCTCAGGATAAACTTTTAAAAGTGGCCTCTCTGTACAAGCACTTTCATATGTGTAAATACAGCTTGCTGTGAAAACACGAATGGGTTTACTATGTGGAAATAAGTTTTCTATCTACTTAGTTTAAACACTGAAATGCTCTTTAGGTCCATACTCAGAAGATGATTTGAGTCCATTTTGCAGATGTCTCCCTTAGAATTTAAACTTGCTTTATTCTTAAAGTCGTAGTGTCAGTGGTAAGAATTAAAATATGCAGGTGGAAAGAGAACTGATTTCAGCTGTACTGTACAAAATACATTGACTGGACCACATCCTTAGCATACTTCCATTGATTTTAATAGAATGACACCACTTTATGGCAGCTGGTAATCTGACTGCTGTTCAGTACAGAATATGTACAGGTTAGTTCTTAAAGGAATTGAGCCTTATAGGACCAGAGTATAAACATTGCACTGCTTAGGCTAGGGGTTAGAGATAATTCTAACTTCAGATAAAATTTTAAAATGAAAATTAAGAGAACAGGTTTGAGCTCCCACCACTTTCTTCTATTTTATGATGTAGGAAATGGCTGTACTTAAGTGCAGAATAAACCAGAAAGGGCTCGTGCCTGTTCATCAAAAATGAATTAAAAGTTCAGCCATTCGAAAAAGATAGCAAGAGACTTTACTTGAGACATACGAATTTGCCTTCTTGCAATATCCCTTTAGTGTGAAAAGATGATCAGGTCCGTGATTACTTTTTTAAAAATTTGTATAGAATGACCATAATGTGTAAGTTCATTACTGAATTGGTGCTGTAAAAGGTAATGAAAGCAGAATTTGTTTCATTTTTACCTGGAAAAGTCCAACAGAAATTCATTGCAGTCAGTTGCATTGAACCTGTGATTGCTTAGATCAAGTTTTACCACTTGTTTATGCCATTGGCTTTACACTCTTAGGTATGAGAGTAGAGTCAAGCCCTTAATACCCAAAATCAAACACAAGGTTATATAGTTCATAAATAAATCTGAGATTTCTCCCCCTGCCATTCAGAATGCTAAATCCTTTGCTCCTCTTTGTTTCAGTACAAAAATTCAGAACAGTATAATTTTCCTAGTATCAAAGGGCAAAGCCTCAAACTCCTCTGTATTCAAAGTCTGTGTTCTTGCATGACAAGAGAAATAATATTTAAAGTGATTATCAGGTAGAAAACACATTTTATCATACCTTGGTTTAAAGTACATTTGCTGTAATCCATCAACATGCTGTGAGTCTTAGATATCTCCCCTCTAATATATCATGTTGAAAGCTGTTATTATATTTCTTGTA